AGCTTAATTCATTTTTAAGTTTTGGTAACTGTTTTTTTTTCAGTTTTGTCCTAAAAACCAATAACCAAAGTTTTGCTAACACTAGAATCCGCATTGGTTGAGGTAAGAAAGCTCACAGATACTCTCATTTGATCAAAAACAGTATCATATTAAAAGGAATGTTCTCTCAAACATCTGAATAACAACCAGTAGCGGATTACCCCTCTCCTTCTTCCCTCAGGGATTCGACTCCCTGCTTACTCAAAGGGTCACCATTTGCACTATTTTGAGATATCCGTTTTTGGCTGACTGATTTAAATTTTTTCAAAGGCGCCTCCGTGCCATTCTATACTAATATTGAGGGGGAAGCGCGCGCCAAAAAAAAATCAATTTTATTGTCGAAATTTTTCAAAAGTGCATAAAAACGGTTTTTTTTACTTGTTTTTTTTTTCAAAAACTTGCCTGCGGCACAGAAAATTTGGTCAAAATGGGGTAATTACAGTGATTTGGGAGAGCTCAGAAAACCAATTTGGTCAACCTAGAAAAGAAGGTCGAAAATTTTTTTTGAATTGTTTTGAGTTTTTTCCCTAGCAAAACCAGGTACCCTAAATAAACAGCAGACTGGGTTGAGTGACATATTATACTGAAGCTTTTTCAGTCGTGATTTGGAACACATTAAAAAAATACCAAGGTGTCGAGAAAAATCGGTTTGAGGTTTTTGATTTTTTATCTATTTTTGAGCGAGTAAAGCGATCGAGTAACGTTTGCGAAAATATGGAAGTTAAAATTTTCGGCTAAAAAAAACAATTCAAAAACATTTATAATTTTTTCTGCAAAAAACTGAAAAAAATTCAAAAAAATTTCTTTTTTTTTTCAATTTTTTTTCGAATATCATTAAATAACAGTTTCTACGCTTCGTATAATTGCAATTTGACACGATGTGCAATAAAGACCCTAATTTAAAGAAATTTATTTTAAAAAAATTATTTTTCTCAGAATGTGGTCGGAGCTTTCTCTGCTACTTGCTCAGGAACCGGCTATCCTTGTTTTCTTTTTCTTTTTGTTTTCCTCCCAAAACGAGGTACCACAAATAGTTTTAAGTGTGGATTGAGTGATATATCTTATTACAGCTCTTCCAGTCGTGATTCGAACGACATTAAAAAAATTTCTGTACCGAGAAAAACAGATTTGAAAATTTTCGCTGAAAGTAGACAGTGAAACTTACTTTTACCCAATTAAATTGGTTTTGGAACTTTTTAGCGCCAGTTGGGACTCAAAAACTTCAAAGTTTCAAAATGAATTCTGCAAAAAAAAATATGAAAATCTTTCGAGAACATTTTTGATATTTTTTGTTTTATTAACCAGTTTTTTTTTACCAAATTGTTGTCCAATTTTCTTAACTTACTATGAATGTGGAGAATTCCTTAGTTCCAGTTTTTTGTTCAAATCTTTTTATTGCGCCATGCAGAAAAAAAACAACGGTAAAATGAAAAAAGTGTATATAGTTTTTTGTATGTTTTTTTAGACTATAGTCGTAAGATTCTGTGCTAGTTGCACAGTAACCGGCTATCCTTGTTCTTTCGTGCATTTTAAAATCAATAATTAAAAGGAAATTCTTTTAGGTCAGTTAACATACAAAATATCAATCAGAACTGGTCAGTTATTGCCATAGAGACGGATTTTGTATAGCAGATTAGCTTCGGAACGACTAAAAATAAATCGTTTGAACGCAAAGTGACGGGTATTTCATTCCCGGGTCGAAGTCCCATACAAATTATTTCCAGACTTTGAGGTTCAACCCGCATCCAGATTTGAACCCAAATTGCATAATCGCGCCGAGAGTTGAAGCCTGAAACGTCGGGAGTGAGTTGCGCCGTGGGTCGCGACAATTTGGAGATACCAAATTTGATTGCAAAATTCTTGGCATGGCTCGCGACACTCTGGACATAGAAAAATATGGTTTTTAATGTCTAAATATAAATTCGCGAAAATCTGGAAAATGAGCGTCCAGACTCTCACGACCAAATTTTGGTAAGTCCAGATTTTTGCTATCCACGCCAAAACTTTTGTCACCAAAACTGGGTATGTCCAGACGATCGCGATCCTTTCATGTCCAAATTTTCAGCACTCAAACTCTCAGCACGACTATGCAGTTTTGGTCTAAGCCCTGATGCGGCACGACCCACGTCGAGATTTTAAATCCATACTATGCAGATTCAAAGTTTGCAAGTCAGCTTTTTGGGTGTGAAACTGGGCTTATTCTTGCAACCAACGCGGAGACGGCGCGATTTTCCCGAAAAAAGCGGAGACAGCAAAACCATCTGAAACCATTTTAGCGGAAAAAGTAGATCATTAAGCCAAATGCAAACTGCCAATCACTAGCTACTTTTCTTAGTTTGACTAGCTACTTTTCTTAGTTTGTTTAATTAATCAAACTGATTTGAAATAACTTGTAAGTTAGTTCCGATCAACTAATCTTGTTGACTGAATCGTTGAAGTTTTATGCTAATAGCTTTTGTCATTGTTTTTCGCTCATTGTTTTCTTGAGAAACTTCTACTAATATTTTCATTTTCAATTGAGTGAGGTAGTTTCTCTAGACAAGTTTCGACTTTTAACTAGACAACTTTGACAAAAAAATAACAGCCAAAAATCATTGTTGACCTGGGCTCAAATTTGAAAAAATACATTATCTGTGATCATTTTTGAAAAGTTATGCGGTTTTAAAGATTGCCATTTTGGCTAATTTGGGTTAATCAGCGTTCTTTAAAATTTGTGCTATTAACGCTTTAATCCGTCTTAGAAATTGTTTCAAACTGAATTGAGGCAGTCCTTGTTATTCACCAATTTCCTTGAATTTTTGTCATCCGAATTGACTGAATCTTTGAAGTTTTATGCTAATAGCTTTTGTCATTGTTTTTCGCTCATTGTTTTCTTGAGAAACTTCTACTAATATTTTCATTTTCAATTGAGTGAGGTAGTTTCTCTAGACAAAATTCGACTTTTAACTAGACAACTTTGACAAAAAAATAACAGCCAAAAAGCATTGTTGACCTGGGCTCAAATTTGAAAAAATACATCTGTGATCGTTTTTGAAAAGTTATGCGGTTTTAAAGATTGCCATTTTGGCCAATTTGGGTTAATCAGCGTTCTTTAAAGTTTGTGCTATTAACGCATAAGTATAGATTTAATCCGTCTTAGAAATTGTTTCAAACTGAAGTGAGGCATTCCTTGTTATTCACCAATTTCTTTGAATTTTTGTCATCCGAATTCTTTTCCAGTCACGTAATTGAAATTAGAAACAAACTATAGAAACAGTTTTTGTACCTTCATTAATCCTTGGCGATTCGGCTTTCGACTAACTTTGCAGAGTGTTTTCTATTTTATCTTGACAAATCTAGAAATTATATATTTCAATTATAGCGAAATGTTCAACCATATTCCAAAGATTTGATGCCATGAAATGAGTATCTGAGCTCCTAAAATTGCATTTGTGATAAATTTTTGTGTAACAGTCTTTTTCTTTTTTTAAATTTTCTAGGCAAACAAATTATCCGGGATGAAGCAAACTTTCCGAGTTAAATAAGCCAATTGAATTAATCTGAATGAAGCATGGTTGTGCTCGAAATATATCGATTTGGACTTGGCATTCAAGGTGGTGGTAATTTTTCCCGGGAAGAAAACAAGGAAAATTTTTTTTTAATTTGCGAGTGAAGGCAATTAAGTAACATGAAGAAAACAAACAAAAACGAAACACTAAATAAAGTAAAGTTTATAAAGTTTTGATCTAGCAGTTGAAAAAAATGGTTTTTTCGCAATAAATTATCTTCTGTAAATCATTTGTGACAAAAGCCTTGAATGTTCCGACTGCCTTTTAAGGTTTATGGAGCATTAATAACATTTAAAAAAATAAATGAAATAAAAACGTGATAATTTTTTTTCAAATTTGAAATTGTTTATGAAAATCATCCCCCCTCCCCCACACGCCATACAAAGTACAAAAAGATAGCTTTCGTTCCTTGTAACAAATCACTTATGGCGAATAAGCTTATTTCAAGCAATTTGAAACATTTTCTAAGACGGATTAACCCTCCGCTTACGCGTTAAAAGCGCGAAATATATTGCGCGTTAATTGTTCCAAATTGGCCGAGATGGCTATCTTTAAACCCTCGTAAGATTACGAAAAATGACTACAGGCAAAATATCTTTTCAAATTTTCTCAGGTCAACTCAGGTCAAATTTTCAAATCTCAGGTCAATAAAACCTTGCGAATTATTTTAAGAAATTCCAATAAAATGGCTAGTTACTTGTCGAAATTTGTCAGAAGAAAAAAATTCACCCCGAGCACAAGTACTCCGTTACTTTCGTATCGAAAATCGGAATAATAAAAAGCGATGAGAGGAAAACGAAATTTTGTAACTTCAAAGCTTCGGACCGATACTTTTGGTGTTATACCCAATCATAATGAGTTTCCGGGCTTCCGAAACTCCACGGAATTTACAAAAGCTTCCGATCATGGAAATGTGAAGAAAATACATTCTATAATACATCATTGAATTTAAAAAAACGATAGTAAATTTATAATTAATAGCCGCTGAATTCTTAAAGCTCATGAAATATTTTTTGTTCTGAACTTTATTGTTAAAACCAGTTGAGTAAGTAGTCGTAGCAATGAATGACCAAGAAAACCTGTTCACAATTTCACGTCAATTAAATCATTATGAGCTTTCATCTCTTGTTGGAAATTGTCTCTCATTGAAATCACATCACACAACATCTTCTTAGCAGTTGCATTATCGATCTTCAATTTATGGAACTCGCTTGGTTTCAGAGAAGTGACCCGTTCGTAAGTGTACCCACGACTCAACATGGTCGGATATATTTCTCCCAGACCGTAACTTTCGAGGAAAAACCGGAGTCGTTCCGAATCTCCGGGATCTGAAAATTAATAATACTTAAAATTTGTTCTATCTGCAAATAAAATAAACAAAAGACTGACTTTTTGAACAGAAAGTTTGCTTAGGGGCAGATTTAGGGGGGTGGGTGTCAAATCTTTCCAAAAAAGCATAAAAACGCCTAAAACATCCTGATTTACATTGTGATTTGATGAAAATATTAGTTGGAAAGAGATGATTATAAACTGGTTACGTTATGATAAAATAGCATAAGATAGATGATCGAAATTAAACTTTAACAAGATGTATCTGTCACCTTTAATTTCCGGTTTTTGGCACATCGCAAATGGGTCTTCGACTTCCATTACTGAGCTGCCAGGACTGAGGTCCGCATTCTCGAAGTTTGCTACTGTTGCCATTTCGGAGCGAGATGACTCGAAGTCTATTTGCGACAACGAGGAGGCCAAGTCTGGACCGACTGCAGGACGACCTTGAAGCACAGTTTTTCAACTTTTTGTTCCGACCATTTGAAAAATGGGGAAGAACTTTGTATTCGGATGTGTTTTAGTTTTTTTTTCACGCAAAATCAGGTACCACAAGCAATTATCGGAATGGGTCGAGTGATATATCATATTAAAGCCTTTCAATTGCGATTCAAACGACATAAAATACAAATACATTTTCACAGCGTCGAGAAAAAACCGGTTTGAATTTTTAGATTTTTGGTCTAATTTCGAACAAATTTGGGGTGAGCGTCTAGGCTTACAATAGCTTATTTGGGCTTTCTTTAAGCCGTGAAAATTTAGTTGTACTCAAATAAAAGTAGTTCTTGGAGTTTTTAGCACCATTTTGTAAACAAAAGTTAAATTTCTGCAAAAAAAAATTTTTTTTTAATTTTTTTTTCGTTTTTCTAGTCAAATTTCTTCAAAAACTGTTTTCTGAATGGCCTTTTTACTATGACTGTCAAATATGCCCAGTTCTTATTTTCATTCAGATCTTTTTATCACACCATGCTACTTGCACAGTAACCGGCAATCCTGGTTCCTTTTTGCAATTTTTTTGCTCTTAATATAATTCTATATTTTTTTAATTTTGAGTTTTTAGCCAAACAGAACCTCTTTTTTACACTATAAGCAATTGAACTAAGCAATTTCAAAGACTTCAATTGGATCTTCTTCACAATAATTCTACGGTATCTACCAAAGAAACTTCACCCTGCAAATAAAATCATTCAAATTGCACGAGAAATTTGTATTCAGAACTCACAAATTTTGCTGCATTCTGATTGGTCAAAAACTAGCTGATTTAATCTGATTTAAGCCCACTTTCTCTTGAAAGCGAGAAGATAGTTAAATTAGTTTTCAATTAACAGATCCGGAACCCACAGGCGTTTAAATGTACAATATGTACTTTATATGATATAAACCAATTAACTGATTGAAGAAGAACTATAAAACGCTAATTAAAACATTTTCTCCAAAACTGACCTTGAACTAAATTGTGACTGCTTGAGGAGTTTATGAAGGAGGAGGTCAAGGGCAAGCTGACCTCCGAGTAGGAACTCTGGAAGGATTGATTGGGTGAGAGGAAGAAGCCCGGGTCTTGCTGTTTCCTGGCCAACCTAACCCAATGAAACGAATTTACTATAAGCGAAAAGAAGCGGCGGAGCGGAGTGAAGTGGTTACGTCTCCGCCTCTCAATCGAAAGGTCGGATGTTCGAGGCCCACCATGATCCGTGCTCGTTGCTTGAGGGTGAAGCAACACTACTCAGCCCAGAAAAATAACCAAAAAAATGCATGTAGTTCTTAAACAGGGGCACAACAGCGGTTCGCAGTGATGAGCTGAGCAGCTCTTGCGTTGATCCTTCCCCCGTGGATGAATGGTCTTAAAGAAGAGCACTAGTAACAACTAGCATGCAAATGGAACAATTATTCTTTAAAAGTTTTTTTGAGAAAAATCAGTTTGTCGATTTTCTTCTTTACACCTTTGGAAAATTTTTAAAGCTAAAAAACGCAGACAAAAATCATACAAAGCTTCATTTAAAACTCATAGAATCTACTCAACAATCCCCTCCTATTGTACCTACTAAAGAATCTCCCCGTCCCCCCTTCTTGAAAGGGGGGAGATTGTTAAGTAGATCCAAAAACAGAGCAGCAACGTTAACAATCTCCCCCCTTCAAGAAAGGGGGGAGATTCTTTAGTAGATACAATAGGGGGGGGGGGGGGGGGTGGTTGGGCAGAGATTCTTTAAAAGATACAATAGGGGGGAGATTGTTAAGTAGATCCCTGTTTTTTCTTCCGGTGCACATATATCAAGTGCAATTCACAGTTCACAAGCAAAAAGAGGACATTCAAAAACTACCCAAAAAAGCGGGTATAAGTTTATAACCAGTGGTGTATAACAGCGATTGCCCTTATAAATCAGAACAGTTCTGTTTTACAAGGTCAAATCTGATTCTATATCATGTCATTTTTTGTATTAATCGAAAACAATGCAAAACGAAAAAAATAACTATACAAATTCGCAGGTGGGGATGGGGGGGTAAGAGCGTAAGAATGGCTGACTACGCATGCCGGGTGATTAGACCATGAAAAATAAATTTATCTTTCACACTTAACCTTGTAAATTCCCTCGGTACACCAGAAAATTAATGAATACTTGCGGGTTAAATCGAAAAAGAGCCTAGATAAGTATAAACTTTATATTGAAATGATCAGAAATATTTTTATTTGAAGATCTTGTTTTTTGATTGGATATAAAACGTACACTGGCGACTTGAATCTGTTTTTGAACTTTGACATTTCGGACACATGGGAACTGCTCTCGAATGTTCTAGAACTTAAGGGAGAGAGAAGAAACTTCTCTCCACTTTTGTCATAGCTGATGGATTCCAAACTGCGTGAAGAAGTCAATCTCATCAAGTTCTTTTCACGCTTCAGTTTGTTCACTTTCCCGTTCAGACGGTTTTCCCTGATTAAAAAAAAAACAAAAAATCAAAACTCTCATTTCAAAGAATTCAAAACAAGACAAATAAAGAACAAAGTGGATTTGATAAATCATGGTCAAAATTCTCAAATCGAATGGAAATTTTTTTTAAAATTTATATGAAGTGACAAGAAATGTGACAAAACTTTTGGGATAATGGGTAATTTTTGATATTTTGTTAATTTCACACTTTAGAAAAAAATCTTTTATTGTTGGTTAAGATTATTGATTTGAAAACTCTAGTTTTCAAATTTATACGGTTAAAACTATAGTTCAGTATACCTGGTAAATATGTAAATAAAAAAACAGAAATTTGAACCTCATTTTTTTATTGTGTTTGTGATCTTTCGCAGCACTGATTATCAATCGTTTCAACTTCTTGGGGTCAGAAACTTCTAGATTCTTCTCGAACTTCTCAAGTATTTTCTCACTCTCAGTCGCTTTGGCTATTCTAGCTAATGCCAAAGGAGTGTTTTCCTGGTCGTCTAAAGCAAAGGGGTTGCACGTGTGTTTTTCATACAGCAGAAACCGAACACAGCTGTAGTTGTCGTTTTTGACGGCCAAATGTAGAGCCGAGTTTCCGAAGTAGTCGGGTTTGCTGATTCTACCACTGAAAATAAAGCAATTTTTTTAAAAGTAGATATTTTTACTTCAGCAACATAAACTTATTTTTAAAGCAAGACTACTCGTATTATGCAGTAGCTATATATTATCAGTACCTATATAGAACGCGTGCCGATTACATGCTATTTTTGATAACACTTTCGAAAAAAAACTGTTTGACGGCATTTTAAAATAAATTTAAAAAACGCTTACTGCCCTGAAAACTTGGTCAAGTATGCTATAAGTTAACGTAAAAAAACGTTAAAAGCTACCTTAAAACACCTTCTATGAAAGTGTAAATTTGCTTTAACTTTTTTTCTCCTGTAATTCATGAATGAAAACATATTATTACCTGAAAAAATTTATACAAATATCTGACCGCTTAAGGTTTGTAAGCCTGAAGACAAACACCACTTACAATTTTTAGGACATTTTCATTGTAATGTTTTTCAGGGTTTGATAGATTTTACCATCCATTTTTGAGCTGGTTTCTGTGAGATTGAAAAGTTTTTCGAGCTTTTCTATAGATGGGTTCAGTTGTATGTGCTGGAGTAAAATTGCATGTAACTAGCCCAAAACTGATGAGAATTATTGATTATTCATTTGCTTTTAGATAAATCAATTCAAAGGAAACCAGCTTGTTGTTGTGCAAATAGGACGAAATTGTTCCGAACATATTTAATTTTAAATAAAAAAGCTAAAAATCAATTTTTCAATTTGTAAAATCTAGTCCGACTTTTGAGAGCGTTGTCATTCGTTTTAATTGTTAATGTTGTTTTTCACAAATGAACATAAGCAAATTACCAACAAAACATCTAGCCAATTGTTGACCATAATTCTAAGACATATATTTCAACACAATGTTTTAGTTGGATTTTTTAAATGACCGCTCAATAGCCGAATTTTCAATAAAAATAATTTTCCATAGAATAAATAACCAAATATCAAATAACAAACATAACTTGATGGCTTTACTCGCTGGAAATTAGACAAAATCTTTTAATGTGTTACGAAATTCAACTGAAAAAAAAAACGTTAAGATTTCGTATAACCTTTCAAAAAATTTCAAAAAATTGCAAAAAAAAATAAAATAAAATCAGCACATCTTCTCGCACATTATGTTGGAGAAAAAAAGTGATTGAATCAATATCAATGATTGAACTAATAGCAATTCGAGATCGATGGAAAAACACTCATTTAACAATTTTTCATTAAAAAACCATATGGTTGTCAAAACCAGTTTTTCCGATAAAAGGCAGTACAATAGCTTCAATGTCATACAAATACAAAGATTTTCGATGGTTGAGTAAAAGACCCATCTACCTTGAAAATTAAAAATATACTTTCTCTTGACTTTTTTGATGCAAGATAAAGCAAATTTTTAATCAAAATCTCTAAAATATATAATTTTACGCAACATTTTAGATAGAGTTTTGTTACGCCATTTTTTTAAAAAAAACCAATTATCAACTAACAATCATAATTTGATTGCTGCTTTACTTGCTTGAATTTAGACATAATCATCAAATGTAGTGCAAAAGTCAACTGGAAGTCTTATTATATATATGTATCTATCATTACAAAAAAAATTTATTGGTGATATATTACAATAGGTGGTAATTGAAAGTTAAATAGCTTGATCGGTTTTTGTTATACTTCGCACAATATGTATATTTAATTTGGAAAGCCAAATTTTTTGGCAAAAAAATGCAGCAAAACTTGAGTTTTTGAAAAACATTTCATCTGGCAGAGTACTGTATTTACAAAAACTATCTTAGCAGCATGTAAAAATGATTGAAAATGAAATGATTATATTACGCATTATAGTTCTCAATTTTAATACATGCACTATAATTAGGATTACCACCTTTTGTAATATATCACCATTTTATTTAAAAAGTATCAAATGAGTTCAGTTCTTGTGGCTATTTGTTTTACATGATTTTTTGTGCGAGAGGCGGTTTTTGTGCCGCTGATCTCTGGTTTTGTACACACAAAAAATTATATCCCGCTCTCAAAGTATTTTCAAAAAAAGAAGCTCAGGCAAAATCTTCCAATTTTTTTTTTAATATGGCTAGACGATTTATGCTAAAGCAATCAGCTTGGGGTTTCGGGAAACTTACGGTAGAGGATTATAAATAGGTTAAGACTTACAAAAAAAGCTTCCGAAAAGTATTCAAATTATTCAATTTAACTACTTTTACTTTATTTCGCTTCTTAAAAGAATCAGTCAATCTGTATTTCATCAAGTTAAAAGTCAGCAATTTTATCTGCGATTGGAGGAACACCTTAGAAATTTCATTCTTGAAAGTCATTCTTATATAACAATTAGGTTCATAAAATTGTTCACAATCAATTCATGGAAGTCATTCTGATATAACAAGTAGTTTCATAAAATAGTTCACAATCAATTCATGGAAGTCATTCTGATACAACAAGTAGTTTCATAAAATAGTTCACAATCAATTCATGGAAGTCATTCTGATACAACAAGTAGTTTCATAAAATAGTTCAAAAAATAAGCTATCAAAAAGATAAAATGCAGATGAGTTTCACATCAGGTGAGACAAAACCAAATTAGACTAACTGAAACCATACTGGGCGACATTGAAAGCAAAAGCAGTTTTTAATGAGCAAACAAAATTTAAACTGGAGTTTGTTCAAGTTCGCAAAACTCATATGCTTGCTCCGATAGAAAACCAACAGAATATTACAAGTGCCTGATATTTCAGTTACATATTTTTTGCAAAAGTAACATAAATATTAGCGAATAATGGCACAAGGACAAGTTTTATCTGACTCATTTCATAGAGCTAGCTTTAGTACATTGTTTCAATCACAGTTCAAGAATGGAAAAACCACGCCATTTTGAGGTAAAAACTACACAAAACTGAAAGAAGAGCCTTAAAGGTAATTTTTTTTTTCGGATCAAATATTTAAATCTTTCACGCTTGCAAAAAAAATCAATATTAAAAAACAATCAAGTTTAAATTAGTAGCTGAGTTAAATTCAAATTGCTTCAAAAGCGTTCTTTTAAAAAAATTCACACTTTCTTTAATCGTTTTTATTTCAGTAAAGATTTAACAAAATTCTTGTGGATGCGTTTTCAAGGTCGCCCAGTATATATTGGGAACAAAATCTTTGTGCTTGAAATCAATTCATTTCGATAGTGAAAGCAACAAATTTTGAGCAGAATGGAAACTGTTTGACCAAATTTTAGGTTTGGAAAAGCTCACTTCAGCCTTGATAATTTTAGATGATGCAAAACTTGCTATACAGTAGATATATCAAAAAATTTCGAAAATTTTCTCAAGTTCTTTTTCATTCCTCTAGTGGTATCAAGAGCTTTAAAAGAATAAGAAGCAGTTTTAAATCCCTTTCATTTGAAAACTTTTATTTGTGAGATAAAAAAAAAACGTTTTTTTTTGATGAAAATGTTTTTTTTTTTGGATTTCAAGCGACCATATCTCCGACTAATAAAACATTAAAGTGGATAAAACTTATTGAGGACAAAACTGAGACAGAACATACAACAAACTTAGTTGTATAAAAAAAATTGCTTGATTTGTTGAATACTGTAAGTACTTTTTTATCGTTATTTTTCTCTCCAAAAATTGGCTCGTTCCCAGAAGGACACATTAACCGCAGAACAAATTGGAGTAAATTGTTCAAAACACGCAAAATAAAATACCAGTTTTCCAGAGCAACTTTTGGCTGGATAGTGCCTGCTTAGCGATAAAGTTTTTCTCAATCAGAAGTTTTTGCCTAGACACTCAAGAAACAATTTTTATAATATAACTAATGGGCGACGTTATAACTGCAACAAATAAATTTTTTCAATTGAAAAATTTTAAAAACAAACGAGTTGTTTTTTATTCTTTCAATCACCAGTTTAACCTTTTAATACGCCACTAAACTTTGAGGTGCGTTCACCCAAACATCAAGATGGTGAATAATTTCAAGAAGGTGCAGTTCTCTAGGAAATTGCGGTTTTTTGCCCAATTTTGCTCTTTAATTAATCACTAAGACGTTTTATTGGGTTGAGGTACGGACTGTTTGCTAGAAAAAGATGTTTTATAACCTTTTTCCCTAAAAACTGATTGATAAGTTGGGCAGTATGAGGACTTGCATTGACTTGATAAAAAAACTTTACACATTTCGCATTTTTAGAAGAAATGATTGAAATTTTAATAAGAGAACTTTTTCTGGTGTTTTCAGGCCTTCAGAGTTGATCTGTTATGAGCTGAAATTTTAGCCCTGATCATCAAGCTATTTTTGTCTTCATCTATACTTGATAACTTTTTTTGAGTTCAGACGCGATCTTTTTACTTTATACCCAAGAACTCTCCAATCGTAAGACTTCAAAACGAACCGAAACTTGTTCGAGAATAGTACTCTGGCCCAAAAAGGTTTTCTTCAACTCAAAACGCTAGTTGCCCATTCTAATCTGGCTTTTTGCAGCTGTAGAAAAACTATCTTTGATACGGGCGAAGACAACGTGACTGTAGCTGCTAAGAACTCAGTATATTGTGTTTGGACATATTGTACAGTCCATCAGCTTTTTTGAAATTTCGAACGTTTTTTTTTCAAAATTTTGATCAGTTTTTTGTTTCGATCAAAATGACAGTTTTTTGCCCAGTTTGGGGCCATCGTCAACAAATTAGCTGAATTGTAACGAAAAAGAAACTTGGTTGTTGTTGTTGACTTTGATAAATTTTTCTTAGCATTTCAATGGCTTGATTTCTCTCAATAAAATTCCATCGAGACATTTTTAAAGTGCATGTCAAAATGATTTTTATACATAGTCAATCAGTTTTTTCGTAAATTCGTTTTTAAAAAAAATTGACCTCTGTAAGAGTTTTCTATCATAAGAGGGAAAGGCCATCAATTGATCACAGAGGAACTAGAAATTGATAAATGGAAAGAGCCGAGAGTTTTGAGCAGTCGTCTTAATTAACCATAAAAAATTGACGCAAAAATATTATTTCAGCTATTCTGGTGTCTGTT